TCCATTTCTGGGCTCTCTATTCTGTTCCATTGATCTATGTGTCTGTTTTTGTGCCAGTACCATGCTGTCTTGATGATGACAGCTTTGTAATAGAATAGTACCTGCTTTTTATTCCTTTTTCCCTCCCATGCCCTTCCTTGACTTAACTGAAAAGAAATGTGGAAAGGAGAAACTGACTCTTTTGCATGAACTTGGAAACCAAATTCCATAAAGAAGAATCATCAGAGGAGGGCTACCTGGCTAAAGTCAAATCTCTTTTAAATAAAGATTTGTCCTTGGACAATGGGCCTCAAGTTTTCAGTTGGGAAGTGAATGGAGGTCTAGAAAAGGAGAGCCAGATAAGTGGTGAAGAACGTAGAGTGGGAATGGCAGAGGCAAATCCCTCAAACCTGTTCTCAAACCTTGCACACCCGGAAGAAGCTTAAACACAAACAAAACAAATTGTTTTTTAAAGATTTTATTTATTTATTTGAGAGCGAGCACGAGAAGAGGGGAGACTCAGAGGGAGAGGCAGAGGAAGAGGGAGAAGCAGACTCCCCACTGAGCAGGGAGCCCGATGTGGGACTCGATCCCAGGACCCTGAGATCATGACCCGAGCCGAAGGCAGGCGCTTAACCGACTGAGCCACCCAGGTGCTCCCAAAACAAGTTTTCTGTAGGTTTGAGAGAGTCCCGGCCATCTCTGTTGCAGAGTGCCCCACATTCTGGCTATGCCTGATTTTCACCTTGCAGTTGGATCTGGGTTACAGTGTTACTGTGCCCTTCTTATTGGTCACAGCAGGAAGCACACGACGTCTCCATGTCCCCCAGTGGGGAGCTAAGTTTGATCACTTGGTTAGATAGATGGTGAGATCTCCAGACCTTCTCACCACAAAGCTATATTTTTCCTTTGTCATAATTCACTTGTGAGCTGAGACTTCAAGGTTGTTTGAATATTCTGTGTCTTATAACTCAGTGATTTCAGCATCCATTTTGATCCTTATCAGAATCAGTTATAGGTTACAAATTGGTAATATTCTAATTTTATCATTAGCACTAATTCTTCTGTAAAAAAGAGCTTTTTCTTCTACCTTTTTGAGTATCATCACTTAAGGACACCGGGATTTTTTTTTTGTTGGTGTGTGTGATGATCCCTAAGTGACATTACTCTTCTGATGCTTGAATTGTCCCAAATTTGGCTAGGGACTCATCTCAAGTAGGGTCCTCCATGCCTTTGCCTTGGCCATATCTCATTGGTCTTTGAGCTCTTCTTTGCTTTTGAATCTACTAGCATCAACCTTTTCTCCCAGGAGCCCTGGTTTCTTTTTAAACTTTTTTCTTTTTTTAATTTTATTTATTTATTTGAGAGAGAGAGAGAATGCACGTGCTAGAGAGAGCACAAGCAGGGGGAGGGGCAGAGGGAGAAGCAGGCTTCCTGCTGAGCAGGGAGCCTGATACGGGGCTCCATCCCAGGACCCTGAGATCATGACCTGAGCCGAAGGCAGATGCTTAACCAACTGAGCCACCCAGGTGCCCCAGCCCTGGTTTCTTATAGTAGGAAACCAAGATGTGGGTGCTAAGTGTTGTTCTTTCTCTCTGCTTCTGAGACAGTTTGACTTGATATTTTCAGTCCTGATCCTATAATGACTTATGCCTTCTTTGTGGGGGGGGGGTATCTTTTTTTTCTTTTAATTTAGTTTGATGAAGAATTCTTAGAAACAAAAGAACAGTTACAGAAGTTGCAGGATGGTGAGTATGGAAATGAAATAACTGTTGGTAATATTGATTGTTTCCCCAGGTTTTGTTTTTTAAAGATTTATTTTTATTTTTAGAGAGCGTGTGTGTGCGTGCAAGTGAGATACAGCACGCTTTGTGAGATACATCAAAGCAGAAGGGAGGGGCAGAGGGAGAGAGAGAATCTCAAGCAGACTCCCCTCTAAGGACAGAGCCCAATGCGGGGCTTTACCTCACGACCCTGAGATCAGGATCTGAGCCAAAATCCAGAGTCGGACACCCAACCGACTGAGCCCCCCAGGCGCCCCAAGAATGATTTTGTTTAAGAATTGGTCTTTATGTGGAAGGGCAAAGATGCTGACACTGAACATTCAGGACAGTATCCTAAAACCCAGGGGGAGAAATGACTGAAATTGCAAGGAAATCACTTTTAGTCAGTAATTTCCTGAGCGCTAAAGGGAGTGAACCCTCAGGTGAACAGCCCTTCTCCATCCCTTTCTCCTCCTCCTGCCCGACTCTGACTTCTCCCTCCCTTCTTTTGTCCTCTCCTTCATCCCTTCCCTCTTCTTTATCTTCCCCACCTCGCTCCTTCCAAATTGTCTGAGGCACCCACCGGTGTCTGCTTGAAGTATGCAGACAGAGGTCCCCATTTACACTGGGGTGAACACCAGACAGAAATGAATTCAGTGAAAAGCCCCCCTTTAACTCCTGGTCAGCCCCTCTCCCTCCATTCCCAGGCTCCCTTACCCAGTGACTCTGTAAGTAGCCTCCCTCCCAGCCATCAGCAGCGTCTCTCGGCCCAACTGAAGGCTCCCCAGAGAGGGACCAGCTGCAGTGTCAGCCTTCATGCATGACACTGGCCTGATGTCACTAGGCTTGTGCGGAGTACTCATCTCCCCCAGGCCCTCCGGTAACCCCCATCCTTGAGTCCCTTGAGGGCTGGGCGAGCCTATATTTGCATCTCTGCATGTATAAACAACAAACCTCAATACTTGTCTTTGTTGAAGAAAGCAATGGGTTGCTTTTCGATCACTGACCTTGAACTTGGTCGTACGTGGTCTGTGGCTGTGGAAGAGCCAGTGAGTACACGAGTGTCAGTTGGTGACTTGGGTTTTATGCTCAGATTTTCTAAAGCAGTGCAATCTGTAGAACATTCTACAGTGGTGGAAACCTTCTGTTCTCAGCCCCATGTCGTAGCTGCTAGCCACGTGTGCCTACTCAGCACTTGAAATATGTCGAGCGTGCTTAAAGAATGGAATTCTACATTTTTCAGAATTTTGATTAAATTTAGGTTTCACTAGATACATGCAGCAGCTACTGATTGCTGTGTTGGCTAGGGCAGCCCTGCGGAAATATCTTCACTGCATTCTCTCCCGCCCCTTGCCATGGTGGGTAGGTATCTCCCCCTGGGGTGAAAATGAAAAAGGAAGGTTTAGAACAGTGCTGGTTTTCAGGCTTCTTTGATGGTTCAGTCTGCTCCCCTGAATGAAGTTGAGGGTATCTGTCATCAGGGAGCATCGCAGTGTTCCCAAGGCTCTGACCCCACGGTCCCTTTTCATTCGGTTGGGCATGTTTAGGGGCGCGAGGACAGGGAAGAGATCAGTTCTAACTCTGGGCCTTCATTCTCAGGGAATCACCTGCTGTTCCAACAAGTGCCAATGGTTGAAATTGACGGAATGAAGTTGGTGCAGACCCGAAGCATCCTCCACTACATAGCGGATAAGCACCACCTCTTTGGCAAGGACCTCAAGGAGAGAACCCTGTACTGTGGCCCTTTCAAGTGTTCTCGCTTGTCACTCACTGATACCTTAGCTGATTAGCAGTCTCCACAGCACGCCCCGTCTCCTTTGTGTCTCGTATCCTTAGTGTAAACAGGGAATAATCCGTACAGAGTCTTGGTAAGAGGATAGAGAATAACTGAGTTCAGATGCTGGATCTTCTCTCTGGGTCGTGATTGTTTCAGGTTTCAGCATCTTTAAATGCTTTGATACTGCTTTTTACCTTTCTCGCAAATTTATTATCATGAAGTATGAAGAACAGGAAGCTGCTACACCAATCAAGGTCAGGGATACTGTGCCTTGATTATAAATTCAATTATATTTTTGAACTCAAAGCCTGGTCCTTGTACCTCCTAAAATGCATGATATAGGGCGAGGTGCTGGGTTCCACAATTCCACTGAGGGTCCTGTACAGTATATGGATAGCACATACCTGATAGTGTCATCGGAGTCAATGAAATATTGGGTGTAGAGCTTTTTAGCACCATGGCCCTCGTACACACCAAGCATTCCATAAATGATCTCCGCTATTTTTATAAATGTGAAATCCACCCACACCAAGCGTGGGTACTGGAGTAAGGGTAGAGGATTAGGGGCCCGGGAGAGGGGGACGTCATGACTCTTGTGCTTTCTGATTTGTGACAGATTTTTCTGAATTACAATTAGAATTGACTTTGCATCTTTGCTCTTGGAGACAGGTATAGATAAATGCTTCTGGGCACTTCGGTAGCCAGAGCCTTAAGAGAAAAGCACTCTGAATTCTTAGTTGTGGAAGCCGATGAGTTCGGGGAAACTGAGGAAACTTCTTTTTTTGTTTTAAGGATTGACATGTACGTGGAGGGGACGCTAGATCTGCTGGAACTGATTATCATGCATCCTTTTCTAAAACCAGATGATCAACAAAAGGAAGTGGTTAACATGGCCCAGAAGGCTATAATTAGATACTTTCCTGTGTTTGAAAAGGTAGGTGGCAGAGAAGCCCATGAGCATAGCCTAACCAGACTACAAGGGAGCTGCCCCTAATGCCCCTCTCTGCTCAGGGCAATGTAACACCGAGCGCCATTGGACTAACCTTGCTGGATTCCTGAGAGCTGATGGTAGCTGTCAGCACAAAGCCAGGATGTCTTGAAGCCCCTCAGATGCTCCTTGGGCCATGTTATTCAGAAGGCTGGAAAAAATAATGGGTTTACCACATGGGCGTGTTACTGTCCTCATATTCACCACGAGCCCACCCTGTGTGAGATACAGCAAAGCAGAAACTACCTAATTCCTTCCTTCTTTCATCCCACAAACATTTGTGGAATGGCCGTTGTGTATCAGACATCCTACCTGATAGTTTGATATGATGAGAAGACCATTGTTGTTTTATTTCTCTTCCCTTTGCTCTTTTTGTTTCCTGTTTTGTTATTTTCCTCATCTTAATATATCTGCCTTTCTGAGCTTCAAACTCTTTTTCTTAGCTGAGAGGAATGGTTTTAAATGTTTCAGTTAAAAAAAGAAGAGAGTGTAAAAATAGGGAATTGGCAGATCTCCTCTGGCCATCTTTGTGGAATGAGATTTAAGAAGGAGAGGTATTTTCTGGGCTTTTCTGTCACTTGGTGTCATAGTCTCTTGCCCACAGGCACTTGGTGAATGTAAAATATGATAATGTAGAAATGTGGGTGTGATGAGGGAGAAACAGGTGCCTTAGTGAAGGGTCACTGCCGGTCCCTATGTTCCTGTGGCCCAGACTAAGTCAGGGCTCCTCCCAACACATCAGCTACAAACTGGTATCCCTTGGACACATAATGGAATGGAATCATAGACAGATTGAGTGACACGCCTAAGGTGGGGAGCCAGGATTAGACAGGCCTCTGACTACAATTCTGGATTCATTGTGCTCTCCTGCTCTGGCTTCAGTAGCTATTTGATGTTGTATGTAAAGCCCCTGTCAGACACCACATGCACATACAGACACACACACACACACACACAGACACACTCGCTTGTGGGCATCCAACAGTTCGCTGCAAAGGAGTCTCCCCCCCCCTCCCGCTTCTACCACTGTTCCTTGCCTCTCCCCCATCATCATCTATCCCTATGAATCTCTGAACCTACATGCTCTCAAAATGGGGTTCAAGATGAGCCCTGATGCTTTTAGTTTTCTCTGTCTTGGAAGATATGAAAGGAAGCCTACTTTTTTAATAGTCATGTCTAGTTAATGACTACAAGTCTTGATGTTTGTAGAAACACAGAGCTGGCAAATGAGATGAGATTCCTTGAAGGGGACCTGTTGCTTACTTACATCACATCCCCCAGCCTCCTGAATTTGTTGCCCCTAACTCATTTCTATAGATACATTTATGGAATGGGGGTATCCTTTTAAAGCACTGGATGCTAAATCCAGAATTAATATTTTCTTCCCCTTTTCAGTGTTTCATTCTGATATAAAGCAGATATTTTACGGTAGTTCCATTTCTACACCCTTTGTGCGTTCTCTCTCTGATACAGGGAATCTCCTCTTACTTGGTATTATTTTTAAAATACTCAGATACTGCACTGATTCAACAGTTTCATCAGTCTCTCCATATAAATTATTGTAAGCAATGCAAAACATTTGTATCCTGTAGGTTTTAAGGGATCATGGGCAAAGGTTTCTCGTTGGTAACCAGCTGAGCCTTGCGGACGTGATTCTACTCCAAACCATTTTGGCTCTAGAAGAGAAAATCCCCAATATCCTGTCTGCATTTCCTCATCTCCAGGTAAATAAAACCACATTTTAGAACATTGGCCCAGAACTCATACACCTTCCTTCAGTGTCTGTTGATTGGTTGGCTGGGGGGGTGTGTATGTACATTTTTAGATTCTAGTTCATGAAATGAAGGTGCAGACTTAAAATGGTTTTTCTGAGGGGCGCCAGGGTGGCTCAGTCAGTTAAGTGTCTGCCTTTGGCTCAGGTCATGATCCCAGGGTCCTGGGATCGAGCCCTGCATCGGGCTCCCTGCTCAGCAGGAAGCCTGCTTCCCCCTCTGCCCCTCCCCCTGCTTGTGTTCCCTCTCTCGCTTTGTCTCTTTCTTGTCAAATAAAATCTTTTAAAAAAAAAGGTTTTTCTGGTCCCCAAATCTTTAGAGCTGAAAGATCATGTACCTGTGCAAGGAGTTTTAGCTTAGTTTTGTTCTGTAACTATGCTCTTGAAACAAACTCCATACAGTTTGCCAGTAAGGACTAGCAAGTCCCAGTCTTAGAAATAACGTGCTCTCAAATTGGAAACATCCCAGCCTGAGTTCTGAGAGCTAATAAGTGGCACCCAAAGAGTTCCCACCATTCCCTTTCCCAGAAATTCCAAGGAGAGACTTGCGTGTGGCCACTTATTCCTCGGTATTATTCTGCCAAAATTGATCATAGAACTTCAAAGCAGAAAAGGGCTTTATTTTTTTTTATTTTTTTAGAGATTTTATTTATTTGTCAGAGAGAGAGAGATAGCATGTACACACACAAGCAAGGGGAGCGGCAGGCAGAGGGGGAAGCAGACTCCCTCTGCTGAGCAGGGAGCCCGATTCGGGACTCCATCCCAGGACCTTGGGATCATGACTTGAGCCAAAGGCAGACGCTTAACTGACTGGCCAGGTGTCCCAGAAAGGAGCTTTAAACAACCAATCTCATCCAGCTCCTTCAGTATAGATATGAGGAAATAGAGCTGAGGGTAAAGAAGTCAGCAGCTGAGATGGCCTAGTTCGTGGGGACCTCAGTTCTGTCTAGAACCATAGCCTTTCTCCCAGGCCAGTGGGCTTTCTTCTATATGGGGGATTGGGAAACTACAGCCTCCAGGGTCAGATCGGGCCCGCCACCTGTTTGTGTACAGCTCTTGAGCTAAGAATGGTTTTTACATTTATAAGTGTTTGAAAAAAATATCAAAAGAATAATACTTCATGACACATGAAATTCTATGAAGTTTGAATTTCACAAAGCCATGCTCATTCATGTGTGCATTGTCTACGGCTGCTTCTGTGCTGCCACAGCTGAATTGAGTAGTTCTGATAGAGACCATACGACTTGCAAAACCTAAAATACTTACTCACTGGTCCTTTATAGGAAAAGGTTACCAATCCCCTATATAGCTCAAATGACTAAGTTATCAAAGAGAAATAGATCAGATCTCCAAAGTCTCCCAAGTACGTATGCTTTTTTTAGAAAAAAATAATTTTTCCAAGTCTAGCAAATACATTTTGATACACTAATGAGGACAACCACCACTATTTAAATACATGCCTCCAGAAATAAGAATCGACGTCTTCAACAAGGCAATAGCCATCATTATGTTGTTTAGCTATCTGTTCATTTCCTCTTGCAGACAAAGCACACGTTCTTTAATTTGACTTTAATACCAGTAGGTCCCTGAAATAGCCCAGGGACCTGCTGGTGTTTTCTATCCATGATGCTAACAACTTGTTTTTATACCCCAGACATAGGGGTGCCTGGGTAGCTCAGTTGGTTAAACATCTGCCTTCGGCTCAGGTTGTGATCTCAGAGTCCTGGGATCGAGCCCCTTGTCGGGCTTCCTGCTCAGTGGAGAGCCTACTTCTCCCTCTCCCTCTGCAGCAGCTCCCCCTGCTTGTGCCCTCTCTCTCTGTCAAATAAATAAATTAAAAAAAAAAAAAAAAAAGCTTATACCCCAGGCACATCTGTGTAAATATATATATATATATATTTTTTTTAACATGGGTGCAGTTTTTTTTTTTCCTATTGAAGTATAGTTGACACACAACACCCCATACCAGTTTCTTTTTTTTTTCTTTTTTTTTTTAAGATTTTATTTATTTATTTGACAGAGAGACACCGCGAGAGAGGGAACACAAGCAGGGGGAGTGGGAGAGGGAGAAGCAGACTCTCTGCTGAGCAGGGAGCCCGATGCGGGGCTCGATCCCAAGACCCTGGGATCATGACCTGAGCCGAAGGCAGATGCTTAACGACTGAGCCACCCAGGTGCCCCACCATGCCAGTTTCAACACAGTGACCCAACAGCTCCACACATCATGCTATGCCCACAAGTATAGCTACTACTTGTCACCATTCAACACTGTTCCAATGTAATTGACTATATTCCCTATGCTGTACCTTTTATTCCTGTGAGTTATTCATTCCACAACTAGAAGCCTGTACCTCCCACTCCACCCTTTTTGCCCATCCCCCCCACTCTCCTCCCCTCTGACAACCATCAGTTCTCTGTATTTATGTGTCTGTCTGTTTCTGTTTGCTTTTTAGATTCCATATATAAGTAAAATCATATACTTGTCTTTCTCTGACTTATCTCACTGAGTATAATACCCTCTAGGTGCATCCATGTTGTCACAAATGGCAAAATTTCATTCTTTTTTATGGCTGAGTAATGTTCCATTATATATATACCACATCTTCCTTATCCATTCATCTGTGGTTGGACGCCTAGGTTGCTTCCATAATTTGGCTATTGTAAATTAGACTACAGTAAACATAGAGGTGCATATGTCTTTTCAAATTAGTGTTTTCATTTTTGGGGGGTAAATACCCAGTGGTGGAATTACTGGATTGTATGGTATTTCTATTTTTAATTTTTTGAGGAACTTCCATACTGTTTTCCATAGTGGCTGCACCTAAATACAATTTTAATTAAAGGACTTCAGAATCTTTTTTTTTTTAAGATTTTATTTACTTATTTGAGAGAGAGAGAAAGAAAAAGAGAGCATGAGAGAGGGGAGAGTCAGAGGGAGAAGCAGACTCCCCACTGAGCAGGGAGCCCGATGCGGGACTCAATCCAGGGACTCCAGGATCATGACCTGAACTGAAGGCAGTTGCTTAACCAACTGAGCCTTCAGGCGCCCCAGGACTTCAGAATCTAACACCAGATCTGAGTTGAATTAAAGGGTCATTCCTACACTGATTAAAGAGTATAAAAAACAAGTCAGAAGTCACAAAAGTTTTATTATACATCACCTCAGGTAAATCTTGAAATAATAAATCCAATAGAAATAGCTTCTAAATATTGGTATAGTATTTGAAATTAGATGATACAAAGAGTTTGAATAAGTGATAAAAAGAGAAACTTGTCACTTACATAGCTTTGACATAACTATTAGCTTTTGTCAGTATTAATGGTACATGTATGTATGTTTGTGTATCTTTGTGTGCATGCTTAAGGCTGGTCTTTGTACATTATAGACATTTAATAGTAGCTTTTTTAATAAATGACCTCTTTGAAAAATTTTATTAGAACAACTATATTTGATGGATATACACTTCTTCATATGGTTGAAATTTTTTACTAGCTCAAATAGACTTTTCTTCTCAATTACTGAGAAATGTAAGATTTGACTCTGTGAATGGAAAATATGATTTCCATAAATATGGTTTACATAAATATCTGGTATCTGGTGTCTGAGCCCTAGGCCATTAAAAAATATAACTGGCCATCTCCCACACATAGCCAGAAAGAGGATTCATTTGCTAATAGGAGTAAAAAAGTCCAAGGAAGCTGAATTTTAAAAAGGAAATTGTACCATATGATGACCTTTTAAAGTACTTTTATTTAAATGGCTCATGCATTTTCTCTGAGTAGATAAGTATATTTAAGGTACTGATCTTTCCTTCCTTTTTTCTCTTAAGCAAGCATCATAATCCTAATCTAAGCATTTTTTTTATTTTTCTATCTCTGAAAAAAATTCACATGTTGGTCTGAACCATGAGGTTTGCGTGCATAAAACCTGGTCTAGATCCCAGCCATTGTGGACAGAGATCATAAACGGTCACACCAAGAGATCAGACCCCAAGCAGATGCTGGATTACATTTCTGGCTGGGTTCCCGTAACAAATACTTCTTGAACAAATTTTCAGGGGCCATTTTACACAACCGTATTTTCGTAGTTACCATTACCTTTGCTGTTAACCTCAGACTGTTGTGTTTTCCTTTTGCAGGAGTTCACAGTGAAAATAAGTAATATCCCAACAATTAAGAAATTCCTGGAACCTGGCAGCAAGAAGAAGCCTCCTCCGGATGACATCTACGTGAGAACCGTCTACAACATCTTTATGCCATAAAGCATCACATCCATCTGTGAGTGAGAGTTAGCCTCTAGAGCTTGCTGTGTCCACAGTCCATCTTAACTGATGCCCTGATCCCAGCTCTGTCATGGTGCTATGTAGAACTGTTCCTTAGGTGGGTCTTTCATGCCAAGATCTTTTCTAGAAACATTCACTGACCTTTTGGTTTGTCCAGTGAATAATTGTTAACGCAACTTTTTCCTGAAAGCCCTTTCAGAGAGACTGGCATTTCAGTTAGATCTGATGTGGTGACTCATTTCCTGACAACCAGGCTGGGCAGGACCTTGTGTTCTCCCTTGAGCTTCTTCCCCCCCCCTCCTTATCCCTTTCTAAAAGCCCTCTGGTCTCTTCCTAATTTTTGGTGTTTAATAACAACAGAATATCTAGTGAATAATTCCTCTCAGCTATAATAAATCTGTGGTGGTAATGAAAGCAGTCAATATTAGCCAAAATAAAGAATTTACAAATCATTGCCCTGTTGCCAGAATTTTTTTGGATTACATTTCTTGGTATCTATAACATATTCCCATGGTTCAGAAATCAAAAGAGTGTAAGAGGGTGTAGAGTTGGAAGTGGTCTTTTCGGCCTTGGCCCCCAGCTACTCGGTTTCCACAGGCAAACGTAGTTATCATTTGTATATCCCTCCAGTTGTATTTGATGCATGTATAAGAAAATTATATATATATATAATAAAAAAAGTAATATATATATTACTTTTATCTTCTTACTACCCAACTTTGTTATTTGTCAGCTGCTAATTTTTTTCATTTCAGAACTGAAAGTATGGTTTATTAATACGGCTTTTAACCTGTGTTGATTTGAGTCTCAAATATTAATTGAGCACTTATTATGTGCCAGGCAGGGTGCCAGGAGGCAGAACCCTAGAACAGAGCCCCTGCTCTAGAACAATTCAGCACATAGTAGGGGAGAGATGTGTAAACAGCTGAAGTTATTTTGGAAAAGGAAGAATGTGCTGCCTTTAGCGTATCTGATATTTCGGGAGTTAAAAAACTGAGGAAAAGCAATGGAGTATTGTCAACCAGGGAAGCTCACGGAGCCTTGAGTCCAGACTTTGGGGGGCACTCCATCATGTGGGCATGGCTGACGGCCCATCTGGCTGGTCTGTCTCCAGCCCTCCAGAGGGGAGCTGACAGCACGTGACCCAAAGCGCCCACCCTACCCTGCAGTGTTGGTGTGGCTCAAAGTTCTCGCCCTAAATCATCCAGTTATTACCTGGCTGACTCAGGGTCTCCAGGCAAAGAGGTGTTCCCATCAGACGTGACAGTCCAAGGGCTTAGAGATCAACTCCCAGAAGCAATGGCCAGACCTGTCTTTGGGCAAGGTAGTAGTGTACGATACACGCCCCCATTTTCTTCTTATTGGCTTGTACTCTCGGGGCCTGGCGGGATCCTGGGCCTCTCCCTCAGAGGCAGCAGCCTGGGCCATCACTGCTCCTCAGGCTTGCCTGGCACTGCACCCGCCACCAAACCACGGTCCGGTAATTCTAAGTATCGTGGTGACGACAGAGGCCCACATGGTGGATGTGGGAACACAAATAACCACCTGGACACTTGCACTTGGTTTTCCTCTAATCGAACACTGAGGTACTTGCATTGATTGTCACACAGGGTTGCCAGGATGAGTGAAAGCTGTCCACAACTACACGGGAGAGAGCACATCTGGAAGCTCCATGTGTGCAACTCTCCTGGATTCTGCCCTGGGCCTCTCTCCCCTTGGCTGATTTTCTTTTTTTTTTTTTTTAAGATTTTTTATTTATTTGACAGAGAAAGACACAGTGAGAGAGGGAACCCAAGCAGGGGGAGTGGGAGAGGGAGAAGCAGGCTTCCCGCCAAGCAGGGAGCCCGATGCAGGGCTCGATCCCAGGACCCTGAGATCATGACCTGAGCCGAAGCCAGACGCTCAACCGACTGAGCCACCCAGGTATCCCACCTTGGCTGATTTTCATCTGTATCCTCTCCCTGTAGTAAACCATAGCTGTGAATAGAACAGCTTTCAACGTGTTCTGTGAGTTCTAGTGGATTGTGGAACCTAAGGCTGGTGTTTAGGCACTCCTCAACTTGGAGCTGGTGTCAGAAGTGAGGGTGGTCTTTTGGACCGCTCCTTCTAACCTCTCAGGGAACAGAAACGTTTTATACTTATGTGTCGATTAATTTATGCATAGGAACCAGACATGGACTTGATAACACCCAGGGGTCTGTATTATGCAGTTGTGTGGGATGGCAGCAAATTTGCGCTATTTTATACTATGATTTTGGCATGATTTTACTATGCAGTACCATTGCCTGGTAATATGTGGATGCTGAGCCTTTTTGTAATCATTGGGTTGTACTTCTCTTTTTTTTTTTTTTAAAGATTTTATTTATTTATTTGACAGAGAGAGACACAGCGAGAGAGGGAACACAAGCAGGGGGAGTGGGAGAGGGAGAAGCAGGCTCTCCGCAGAGCAGGGAGCCCGATGTGGGACTCGATCCCAGGACCCTGGGATCATGACCCGAGCCGAAGGCAGTCGCTTAACCGACTGAGCCACCCAGGCGCCCTGGGTTGTACTTCTCTTAAACACCAGGGGGCTGGCTCTGAGGAAACAACCAGAGAGAAAGGTTGGCTTCTGCACTGAGTTAGAGGATTAGAGGCAATAAATGCAAGAGGCCACGCTGTCTCAAAAGAAGACAGGTGCCCCTGTCTTTCCTGCCTATAGGTGCATGACCTTAAATGGTTCAGTGCCATTCCCATACTGAAAACAAGTCTCCCTCCTCCCCCATCTTGCCTTGAGTAGCATTACCCCAGTTTTGTCCCAGTCCCCTTTTGGTCCAGAGTCCTACCCTTTAGTCTCAGCCCTCGGCACCCCACCCCCATTTTCCTGAGCCACCAGACCCTCTGGTCATAGAGTAAGAGGACAGGCACAAGAAATCATTGATCCTCAAAAACAACAGTGTGCGAGAGGGTTCAGGGCTGAACCCAAGCACAGGAACCAGGAGGCTCACCGACTAAAGACCCAACAGGTAAACCAAGGGGTAAAAGTGCAGAACAAGGGCGCCTGGGTGGCTCAGTTGGTTAAGCGACTGCCTTCGGCTCAGGTCATGATCCTGGAGTCCCAGGATCGAGTCCCGCATCGGGCTCCCTGCTCGGCGGGGAGTCTGCTTCTCCCTCTCCCACTCCCCGTTTGTGTTCCCTCTCTCGCTGTGTCTTTCTCTGTCAAATAAATAAATAAAATCTAAAAAAAAAAAAAAAAAAAGTGCAGAACAACATGTCAGGGGGCTGTGGTGTCCGGACAGAGGGGGACGGGCAGCACTTAATGAGTCTGGGACCCAGCACCAGCCATTCAGAAAGTTTGCCGTACAGATTTACAACTATGCTAAGACCACTTTCGAATAAGATGGGTAGTGCAGGTATCTTAGAGTATTCCGATTCCTCCTGGTCCCTTGTAACATTTCTGTTATAGATGTCATATCCATCAGCTATAATCATCTGTTGCTACTCTTATTTTTAACACATTACATTGATTTGTTCATATATTGACACTGCCTGTCTTCCCCAACTAGAATGTAAGCACCACAGGTGCAGGAATTGGGGCTGTATGCCCGCCGTTTTAGACCCAGGGTCTAAAATAAAATAGTGCCTGGTATGGAGTGGTACTCAGTAAATAATTTGTTCAAGGAGCCGGTGAAATCCTTCTTCTTTTTTAAAGATTTTATTTATTTATTTGAGAGAAAGAGAGACAGAAACAGCATGAGAGGGGAGAGGGTCAGAGGGAGAAGCAGGCTCCCCACTGAGCCGGGAACCCGATGTGGGACTCAATCCCAGGACTCCGGGATCATGACCTGAGCCGAAGGCAGTTGCTTAACCAACTGAGCCACCCAGGCGCCCGAAATCCTTCTTCTTACTTGGGCAACTTGATATGCTCTCAAATACACAAACAACAGATGTAAAGTGAAGCTGCAAAGGAATGCTCATTGGTTGGCTAATCCCTTGAGTTGGGTGGAGTGTTCAATGGGAAAGGAAAGAGTTATAAACCCTCATTGGACCTCCCCACAGCACCCCAAGAGGAAAGCCAGGAAGAAAGAAGGTTAGTGGTGAATTTCTTACACACTGTTCTTGGGTGTGGGGGGACAGTTATATTTTGTGGCCAATTTTGCACCTTGCAGTCAGCCATTGTTTTAACTTTGTGGCTAATTTAATGCCTATTTTAAACTTGTCTATATCAAATAAAAGGAACATATTTTTATACGGAGTAGATGTGTACATGAAAACAAGATAGCAAATGTACATTTAGACAAGGCCTTTTAAAGGCTTTCATTGCCTATGCATGACACATATTAGACATTAAAATGCCCTCCTACCCCCATACCACACATGAAATGTAATTTAAAAAATGTGTAAGAGTCAAGTGGTGTTTCAGTGGATTGGTGGAAATAACACACTTAGCAGAATTGAAGCTTTTGAGCCCTTACATTTTTTCTTCCTCAGGCAAAACTCATATATTTTTTTTAATATATGAGAGAGAGAGAGAACAATCGGGGCGAAGGGGCAGAGGGAAAGGGAGGAGCAGGCTCTCCACTGAGCAGGGAGCCCGATGCGGGGCTCGATCCCAGGACCCCAGGATCATGACCTGAGCCGAAGGCAGACACTTAACCACCTGAGCCACCCAGGCGCCCCCAAATCTCATATTTTTGTATGCAGTTGAAGGGAAGAACATAGGCAGTGCCCACTCTAGGCCATGGTGCCTAACAGAGAGGCTAAATCTCCTTCTCTAGGTGTCTACGTATGCTTGGAGGATATAATCCAAATTATCTGACATGGGAGTCTTCTTCTGAGGTCCTGCATCCCTGGGGGGGGCGTCTGTGCTAAGCTGAAAAACAGAGGAGTCTCTAGTCAAGCCCTGAAACAACTTTTCTAGGACTTGTCCTGATCATTAAACAGCAGTGGGGCAGGTGATGGTCCACTCTGTTTATTCTCCCAGTAGCCTCAATCACCTGGGCAGGTGAGCATCTCTTTTCATGGCTCAGGTACATTTTTCATTTCAGTTTATAAGCCTGGGTGTAGAAGTCGACCTCTCGTTAGTTTTGGAAACGTGACTCAATCCATTAGACCCTAATGGAAAGGAAATATAGTTTCTAAAACTGAAATAGTGGGCTTTTTGGAGAAACTGCTTGGCATGTGAGGCCGGACTAGAGCTACCTCCCTACCCAGCTTGTACAGAAGTGACTCACACCCTCACCCCACCCAGGAGTATCCTTTGGCTGTCTGTGTATTTAAAATGCCAGATAAGTACTTGAGCTGTTTTTCGGAAGAACTAGTTCCATGTAGGAGGCTTACCTTTTCATAACATGTCCAATTCAACTAATCAACATATCAAATCAACTAATTAAATATTTTGCTAATAGGTCAGGTTAGGAAAATAGGAGAAAAATAACTCCTAGTCAGTTATAAATGGGATGTAACTTTAAGGCTATATTTAGCCAGACTTTGAAGCTCTACTGAAAGTCTTGGTTATGCTGTTAATATTGCTATTTTCCAACTTGGAACATATTCTTTGTCTGAAACATTATGTACTTAGGACTAAATTGATGCTACATCTGTCTAGTCTAGCAAATTTTTTTTTTTTTAAGATTTTACTTATTTATTTGACAGAGAGAGAGCATGAGCAGGGGGAGCACAGAGGGAGAGGGAGAAGCAGGCTTCTTGCTGAGTAGAGAGCCTGATGCGGGGCTCGATCCCAGGACCCTGGGATCACGACCTGAGCCCAAGGCAGACACTTAACTGCCTGAGCCACCCAAGCACCCCCAGTCTAGCAACTTTAAGTTCTGTGGGGAATACAGGGTTATCTGGGAGAGGTTACTTTTTTTTTTTTTTTTTTGCTCAGTGACACATTTTGATCTGCTGGTTGTAATGAAGATAGGCCATTCTGATCCACTGGAGAAGCTAAAGTAAATGTTATAGCTATTTCTGTTAATAATAGATTTAAAATTGACATCTTATATTCTGGCCCAAAACATCTGCTAAAACTGGCAGCCTCTTAAATTAACCCCTTAAAAATTTTTCATTATCCAGAAAATTCAATATTCAATTTTCACCCCAAAAAGATTGGCTGCTCTCCCGATGTGTGTGTTCCGCATTTAGGAGCATAGGGCAAAGAATGAAGACAAGGGAAGAGACATTAGATCAGAAAGACTGTTAAAACTGGAAGAAATGAAGGAAATTACCAAATTCTGAACCACCTTGCATTTTTATAGTTCAGGCACCTGACATTTCTTCCAGACCTGCCCCATGAGTGGAAGGAAGCTACACACCTGCTACTTGGTTAAACTTGGGGATTGAAGAAAGCCTTACATCTCCTCAAAGGGGGTCAACAAAAATGATTTACCATGGGAAATTCACTTATACTTACCCCCAATTTCCTCTCTGCCCCTCGTTGTCTTCTTAGCCACACACAACTCCGGCACTTCACCATTTGCTCACCCTATTTTTCAAGCATCATTTTCTGCAATTTACACCTGCACAACAGTCCCTGAGAAGAATGACCTAGGGCCACACACCAAGCCCCAGATACAGTTTTGTTGGGTTTTTACTCCAGACCTGGCTTCTTAAACTTCATTTTAATATACAAGTGAATCATCTGGGGTCTTGTGAAAAATGTAGGCTCTGATTCAGTCGCTCTGACCCAGGGACTTAAGAGTCTGCATTTCTAACAAGCCTCCAGGTGAAGCCAATGCTAATGGTCCAAAATCACACTCCTAGAGAATGCCTCCCCTTCCTTTCAGAAGCAAGTTTCATTTTTCTGTCGCACGTGAATGTTGCTGCAATCTGGAGATGTGGATGTGTGTGTGCCTACGTGTGCATGCAGGCGTGCGTGTGTTCATGGGTGTGTGTCATTATTTGAGTCCTTACTGTGTTTAGTGATTTGCACACATTATCTTATTTCCACCTCATAACTACCCACATGAATTAGGAACTATTAGTCTTATTGCACAAATGAGGAAACTGAGGCTCAGAGTTTAAAAAACTTGCTCAAGTGAGAAATAGGGCTAAAATTTCAACTTAGTTCTTTGCTTTTATTGGTACCCGGGGCAAACTCAGATATGAGTTCTTCCACATTTTCTTTTCCTTTTTGTTTTTATGTTATTTATTTATTTTAGTGGGGGAGGGCAGAGGAGAGAATCCTCAGGTAGACTCCACGCTGAGCATGGAGCCCGACAGAGGCTCTGGTCTCACGACCCTGAGATCATGACCTGAGCCAAAACCAAGAGTGGATTGCTTAACCGACTGAGCCACCCAGGCACCCCCCCCATTCTCTAAAAGATTTGGGGCATGTTCTTTACCAAGGCCCACACTCTGACTATCCAAAGGTTGTGATGACATTGGCACTGCTTTCTGCGGCCCCTGCCTTAGGCATGGGTCCCCGGGGCTCTCGGTTGGGGGGTAGGGTGCATCCCATGGCTCACCTCAGGTGAAGCTGCACAGGGGGCAGGTTCACGAGTCCCAAGAGGTGGCTTTCGATTCCCAATGTAATAAGCCCTGTGTGGGAAGCCTAGCTGGTGAACCAGGTTTAGTTCAGGACATATCTGTTGGTCAATATTAGCAGCACAAAAAACAGACTTGTTTCTGGTGAGCGCAACACCTCGGATTCTGGATCTTCCAGCAGCTGTGTTCGCAGAGTGTCTGCATTTTGGGTGAAATCCAGAAAACACTCTCCTTTGTTCCCCTTATTTCTCATGAAAGGAATGAAAATTTCCATTGCGGGATGTACTTTATCCATTACTTTACTCAGTCCTTAGTCCTCACAAGAGCCCCCTGAGGTCAGCAGTGCAACCATCACACCCATTCTAAGGATTAGGAAACTGGGGCTTACATAGGTGGAAAAAGGTTGCACAACATTAGTGAGGACTCATGACTCTAAAGCCCGGAGCCCCCTGCCTTTAAAAGATGGCAATAGTAACATAATAAGTGTTTACTTCCATTTGAGGACTGGACATGGTTGGGTATCGTGCCTGGCAGAGGGGCTGTAAATGAATGGCACCAGATCCACATCCGTGCCCTCAGTTTTCTCAGTGTTCATTCTCTCAGGGAAGCCGGGGGGGTGGGGGGGGTGTTGATCCACATTCTTGGTTATAGACCTTAAGGAGCACACAGCTTTCCCTTCTCACCCGGTGACAACGCCCCTCCCAATGGAACACACCACCTTCCATCCCTGGCACTCAGACTCCCATCTACCTGATGTTGCCAGTTCCCCTTTGTTTTATCCCAGCACCTCCGGGAGCTCATATCTCTGCATCCCTCTGAGTGTTGCTTCTGCCATGCCAGCAAGAAGCTTGCCCTCTCCTGATCATTTTAGGACTACATGTCTCTCCTTTCATCTGAGAGATTTCACTGGGTCTCTGGAACAAATACGATGTCTGGAGCCTCCACATTATGACACTCAGTAGTCGTGTTAGGTATTGTCTCTCGTGGGCAATCTGGGGCTAGGATTTTAATCTCATAGGTTTCAAATAACTAAGAGAATAGTCAGAAGAAAGACCATTCAGCCTGCATTTTAAGTGACCATTGGTTGCTTAGAAACAGCTTTCTGGAGGCTACCAGACATGACCTTTTCTGGATTCATGGTCTAAACCAAAGGATAACGTTCAGCTCTGGCTAACTGGGTGAGCAGGATAGAATTACTATAAAAAGGGTGTTCACAGGTGTTTCTATGTCCCACATTCTTTCACCATAAGATTTATTTCAAACAGAATTTGGACTGGTTGAAGGTTTCAGGGACACAGAACGACAGGAATTAACCTGAGACCAGCCCCAGCCAGATTCACAGCCTCATCCCCGTCCCTCAGAGCAAGTGGAGAGGGGTCAAACTGGAGCTCTGTGTGCTAAGCAGAGAGTGGAGAGATGGAGCTCCTCAAGATGGACGGTGATACTTAACTTCACCAGTATTGCTTTATTTTTGTCTGAAGGCAGCAGGACGGACAGAGACCCAAAAGGGGTTCTCGGAGTGAGGGCTTGAATCATTTGTCAGTCGTCCAGAGTTTGCTGCTGTTGGATGTTTGTAGTTGTCTGTTTGCCTTGCAGCCTTCGTGACACTTGGTCAGTACCTGAAACATGGCCCACGTGGATGTGAGTTTCTCTAGCACTGGGACCCACTGGGCATGCGCATCCTGCTGTGCGTTGGCATGTTGGGGAACTGCTATGCTTCCTCCTTCTGACTTCTAACAGTGCTTACATTTGCTCCTTAAACATCCTACTTGGGACCCTGTAGGCGACCAGAAAATTTAGGAGTTTTCTCACTGGGGAAAGGTTAACACAAAGCCACCATTTCTCTTCTCCCTCTTGTCATATTTTCTCCACACTGATTTTATTGTAAGGTTCATTCTAAGGTGTGTGGGTAGTGAGTTACTACACTCAAACATATTTCTCTAATCAGGGAATTTGGGTTCCTTTTTAATCATTGTGTCTCCTAAGACAATAAAGTAGTGGGGTTTTAGGAAGCTCCAGAAACTTTCAACACTCAGTAGCTAAAGAGGCAACTTAAAAGGAATGAATCTTGACAGCAACCCAACAGAGGCAGTGCCCAGGGCATGACAAGACCACAGCAAGAAAGGAATTAGTGTGGCTTTGGCCGCACATACACTACAGTTGGAACAATACAGAGATTAGCATGGCTCCATGCAAGGATGACGCACACATTTGTGACACGTTCCATATGAAAAAAAACAGAGGAGGAAAGGAATTCAACTTTTCCAAGAGTTAAACTGTAAATCCAACATATAAGAAAATAGGGTTGGGGCGCCTGGATGGCTCAGTCGTTAAGCATCTGCCTTCGGCTCAGGTCACGATCCCAGGGTCCTGGGATTGAGCCCCGCATTGGGCTCTCTGCTCAGCGGGAGGCCTGCTTCTCCCTCTCCCACTCCCCCTGCTTGTGTTCCTGCTCTTGCTATCTCTCTGTCAGATAAATAAATAAAATCTTCAAAAAAAAGAAAAGAAAATAGGGTGGTTGTGGGCAACATTGCTTCAAAACACCTGTAAGATTTTGTGAACCTGAGTGACTTCGTTGTCATATGATTGTGGGTATTCACAAAGTTTTCATCATCAGCCGAACTACTGATCTTCAACTTTCTTGTGAATTTTGTTAGCACAGGCAGCATCCTCAAGTGGAATCCCAGCTAGGACAGGATATTGGCAGTTTGGGGCTTAGTGGGCAAAGGACCATGGTGAGTGCTGCGTTGGGAAGCTGAGGTCAGCCTCTCCGAGAGCCATGTGTCACCCCGCAGGTGCACCTGAGCACCCTCCCAGCCACAGCACCCACGTGCACCGCCTGCACCAGAAGCTTGGCTTTTTTGCCGTTTCCTTGAAGCATGCATTGTTGCCTATGGGGTTGGAGCGGCAAATTTGAGAAAAGGAGACCCAGCAGTCCTCTAAGTTGGTGTAGAGCTTTTAGTATTCTCAGAGCACATTCGGTAATCCTGTGAGACAGGCAGGGGTCACTAACATAATGACCACTGTGGCCCTTGCCACGGTGAGGTGGAAAGTGCGATCAGGTGCACTCGCATTAGCTCTCTCCTCTTCTTTAAAAGGTTGTGGGTCACCCAGGGACATCCTTCTCCTTCCCAGTTGCAGACAAAGACATGCAGGCAGACAGAGGTGCTGAACTGGGCCTAGGTTTGCTTGGCTCCCTGGTGGCTGGGTCAAGACTAGAATCCTGGTCCTGACTAGGCCTGCCTTTGTCTGTGCCTCTCCCAGCACTCAGAAAAGTCTTGTGACAGAAACGAAAGCATGCCCAACTCCCACGGATCATTTCAGTCCAAACCAGCCCAACTCCTTGACACTGTTAGATAATATTTTCTTTTGCAAGGTCATTCACGAAACCATCATATTAACTCTGGGTTCTTGTCTCAAAATACCAGAGACAATCTCTCAAATCTATGGAATACCTTGATACCTTGATATGTATCGTTTGTTCTTTTTTTTTTTTCTTAAATTGTGAGAGAGCACACATACAGGAGAGTGCATTTACCTGCAGTTTAAAGACTAGTTATAAAGACTAATTATTAATTCTGTTTAAGAAACAGACTATTAATAGCACTCCAGTCTCCTTCCCCATATCCCTCCCCTATCACAACCCTCGTTCTCCTCACTGGAGGTAACCACCATCCTGCTTCTGTGATCATTGTTCTCTTGCTTTTCTTATTTTTCTTATTTTGCCCTTCAGAAAACCTCAAGCCCGGAGTCATGGCAACCAAACCCAAGCTCTTCTACTTTCATGGCAGGGGCAGGATGGAGTTGATCCATTGGCTGCTGGCTGCAGCTGGAGTGGAGGTTGGTACCTGATTGGGAAAAGGAAGGAGGGTAATTTGGGTGGACTGGAGTGGTCCTCTCCCCCCTTCAAAATTTAGGATGGTGCCTTCGAGATAGATCCACTCTTTCCCTTTCCACCTACCTTTCTTTGTAAGAGGTGAGAGAGGGATCATAGTTCTCTGTTTAAGCAAGGTTGGGAGGGTGGAAGCCTAGGGAGATGTTCTGGAAGCTTCATAGGGGCCCAAGAGGTCCTGGTGACTCATAAGACAAAGAGGAGAGAGGAAACCCATAACTGGATTATCATCTTCACTGGAACCAGCTAATTTCCTGTGGTCTTTCCAGCTCTGGCCAGGCACCTCAGTCTTGTTCTACCCATGGCTGCCAACTGGAACCCTAGGCCCAGCTGCAGTCTGGTCTCCTCTTGAGCCTTCCTCGGAAAGGTCTGCCCCACTGGGATCTTTCCTTAATTCTGAATTCCTTAACCATTGACTTTTCCATAGATTTTCACAAGTTATTTGGAAGGTGTAGACTTCTTTTTCCCCATTTTAATGCCATCTTCTTTTTTAAATTATTATTAACATATAATAATGCCATCTTCTTTAAGACAAGGACTCGTGCATGACCTTCTTTGTTTTGTTCACCTTATCCTACCCCCATCTCAAGGTTTAGGGGACAAAAAAAAATCAATCTTTCCCACAGAAGCTTTAGGGATTCCATCAATAAATAATGGTAACCCCACCTGAATAATGATCTTCAGATCCCTTTCATTGAATGTATGAGCATTAAAGAGAAATTTGATTTGACCTGATAGGGAGGGAGAATGACACACAAGAGAGAAAAGAAAGGAAAGACAGGAATGGAAAAAGGGAAATCACTGGGGGAAGTTGGTGAAAAGGACAAGAACTTGGAGAGAAAAAAGAGCTAAGGTGAAGAAAAGGGAAAATATGAATGGGACTGAGGATATCCTATAAGTAGGCAAAACCCCCAAAGGGGTGCCAGTCCCATGACTGTAGAAGCTAATCTACACACACATTGGCAGACTTTTCAGCTGTGTGGAAACTGACAACTTTGTGGTTCCTTTTAAAATTTTCATTCTGAAAGCTATTGGGCATTTTATACTGTGAATCTCTCTCTCTCCCTCTCTCTCTCTCTCTCCCCTCTCCTCCTCTGAGGACATTAAAGTTATAACAAAGTTTCTATCCTTTATCTAGTTTGATGAAGAATTTATTGAAACAACAGAACAATATGAGAAGTTGCTGAAGGGGGAGCCTGAGATTTATTCAATGTTTTCTTACTGGAAAAAGTAAACATTTGTTTCTGGAAATATTCATTTCAATATAGAACACAGAACTCTGGAGTGACAACTATTAGAAAAAGGACTGCTCACATTGATTGAGTGCCCACTATGTCCCTGTCACAGGGCTAAATTTATCATTTGCATTGTGTCTTTAGCCGTCATAAAAGCTTATCAAGTAGACTCTGGCCCGGACCTCAGTGAGAGATGGTAGCCTGGGTTTGACTCAGCTAATTGGTTCAATACTCCCCATCCCACTGAATGGAGTACTGGGTGTTATACGCAAACAATGAATCATGGAACACTACATAAAAAAAAAAAAGAATGCTTGAAGAATTCTTAAATAATGATCCAGTGGGTTGGAAGGGAAGGGGAATTTGGGCTAAAATATTCTCTAGTTCTCATGGCTCATATCCGTTCTTCTTAGTGGTTTCAACAGATTAACAGACACCATTTTATCAGGTCACAATTGTAGAACCAAGACTATCGAAAAGACCGAAATTTGATTAAATTCGAAGTCTTTCACCCTTACAATTTCCTAGAAAAGTTTCTCAAACCAAGAGAAAAGACTAGTACTTTCATAGCACTTCTTAACCTTCTAATAGCTACAACATTACTTTCCTTACCTAAGGAAACATGGATGTCCCCACCATTGCTGATAAACAGTCATGAAATTGACACATATTATTTTTTTGAGAAACCTTCAACTAGTAATCAGACCTGCCGTTCAACTAGTAATCAGCAGACCTGCCGTTTACAAACCGTATGACTTTGCAGAAGGCCTATAACTTCTCTGCATCTTCTCTCTTTACTGTAAAATAAAAATAATCTCTGTGGTCACAGATGCAGTATACCAGTAGATCTCACTAAATGGGGAAGGTTGGCTAGCCCCTTACCCAATTCTTGTCCAGGAACTTTATTGTCTGGAATATCCCTGAAGCTCCCCATTCTCTTTGTTTCTGCCCTACTCCACCCCAAATGAGGCCAGTCACTGGTACGTGGTAGGGATTAAGTACATATGTATTGAATAAGTAAATGAAATGCATCTCCAGAAACTTTTCCATGATCATTCCGGCAAGAACTCCTCCCTAATACCCTATGAAATCCTCCAGCCCTCCCTGAGTCTGTGATGCTACTCTTGTGCTTGAGACACTCTCCTGGGCATTACCATTATTTGTAAATAGGAGACAGAGAGGGGCAGCAGAGAGGGCTGTGGGCTGAAGAGTCAGGAGGCCCACTTCTGTTGTGAGTTCGAGCAAGTCATGTTTGCCCCGTTGGCCTTCACAGTGCCATAGTCTATGATATGAGTGAGCTAAATGATCTCCAAGATCCTTTCCTATACTCTTGATCTGAGAGTTTTAAAAATCCTTCTGAAGAAGATCATCAGCTCCTAGAAGCAAGGATCATATCTAATAATCTAATATCTTCTGCATCACTAACAAGCAGTAGCACAGAGCCCAGTTTAGATGCTCATTCAGTTTTGGACAAATGTATAACTGCTTTTAGGAAATGGAGATTTTGCAGTCTCTCCATTAATAATAGTACTAATATTTCCAAAGCATGGTCACAAGGTGATCTTATTCCTGCTCAAGGAAATTCTACAATGGGCAGATCAGAAAATAGGCTCAGGGAAGCCTGACATCATCAACTAGACAGGGACACTGGCTCCCTGGAAAGTTCCTATGGTGGTTTCCTCTCCACCATCCTCTACTGCCTCTCATTAAGTCAAGTAGCAACAGTATTGGAAGTTGGGGAAATTAATTCTGGCCTTTGCCAATGCACTAGTGAAATCTGGTTCCTATTCTGGATAAAAAGTTCCTGATTCTCAGCAATGTACAGGTGGTAAAAGAAATTTAAAGGCCATTTATTTCTTCAAGACCCTATGAAAAGAGCACTATTAATAGTACATCTTTAAATGCATTACTTATATAGGCAGTCACTCACAAAGAAGAAAATTTAACTTTACTAAACACTAGTTATTGACAGTATTCAGTGTTTTATTTATCTCATTTCACCTTTTCAAAAATCCTGCTAGATAGATATTATTATTGTTTTAGAGCAAAGGAAGCTAAAGCTCAGATAGGTCATTTGCTTAAAGTCACATGGCTGGGGAGGGCTAAAGCTGGCGTTTGGACCTCGTCTGCCGGTGTTCTTGCTGTCACATCCGTCCTGCTGCCACACAGACCTGGAGTGATACCTGCTGTGCTTTTCAAAGAATTCAGGCTCCCAGCCTCCACCCCTGAATCAGAGAATCTGGGGAGTGGGGTGAGTATTTTTAACAACCCACCACCCTGAGATGAACTTTGAGAACCAGAAGCACTTATACTATAACACAGTCATAGTAAATGTATAGCGTCTTAAACAATCATGATTAACCAAGACACAAAAATGTGTGAAGCCATCAAACAAATCTCAGATTTTCCATAAAGCAAATGGTAGGCATTTCCTCAACAACTGGGGTCTTTAACTCACTACTTTGGATGAAAACAAAATCACTCAACAAAATTAGAAGAGACCCTCCTACAGGCTTACCTGGACCATGGAAGGACAGTATCCTAACCTCACTTTGCTCAACCCACAGATGGATGCTTGCTTTTCGGCCAAGTGTCTATGATTGAAATTGATGGAATGGTGCTCACGCAGACTAGAGCCATCCTCAGCTACCTTGCTGCCAAGTACGACTTGTATGGGAAGGACATGAAGGACACAGACAGGTAGCATAGTGTCCACATCTGTACTTGATTCTTATCTAAGCTCTGTAGTCCTGCACCTGCTGGGACCCAGTTAAGATGAAGCCTTTCTGCCTAGACTGGGGGGAGAAGGCAAGGGGGAACAAAGGGAAGATGCTCTTGCTACACCCATATGCAAAAGCAATCTATCTCTCATCATTTTTTTTTTTTTAAAGATTTTATTTATTTATTTGAGACAGAGAGAATGAGATACAGAGAGCATGAGAGGGAGGAGGGTCAGAGGGAGAAGCAGACTCCCTGCCGAGCAGGGAGCCTGATGCGGGACTCGATCCCGGGACTCCAGGATCATGACCTGAGCCGAAGGCAGTCGCTTAACCAACTGAGCCACCCAGGTGCCCCTATTTCTCATCATTTTGATGCATAACTGTATAAATACTCCAGTTCTTCCCTTTTACTACTCATAGTGGTGGGCATTCAACATTCTCATATTCTCTCTCCACTCCTAACAAAAGACGTTCTCATAAAATGACCTGGTAAACTATTCTACATGAAGGTGGAAATGACTGACTCAGCAAACAAACATTGAGCATTATATCAATAATCTATTACCACAAATAATGCTGTGTAACATATCCCCTTGAAACACAGTGACTTAAGTCAGCATGCATTTATTACTGGGTCATGTGGGCTTTGGCATTATCTGGGCCAGGCTTGACTCCTCTTGGCTGGACTCACTCATATGGTCTGTGGTCAACCAACAGTCAGCCAGGAGGCTCTGGTTTTGGGTGTTGAGTATCAACCGAGGGGCAAATGAGCCATGTGTCTCTCATCCTCTCATGCCGAGCTTGTTCTTGGGGTAGCTAAGGAGGGTTCTAAGAGAGAGACTGAAAGCACACAAGGCCTCTTAAGTTCTAGGCTCAGAACTGGTCAATTCCACTTCACTCCATTAGTCAAAGCAAGTCATGAGATCAACCCAGAAAACAGAGCCCATCTATTGATGGAAGGAGCTGTTGAGTTTTATCACAATTACTCAGGGGTGAAAATTGGTGTCCATGCTTTTGCACATATATACAAGCATCTACTATGTGCTGGACACTATGCTAGGCCTGACTGAGGATGGCTGGATTATTACTCCCAGGAATGGTTCAGAGTTATAGAAGATAAGTAAACTAAAGACAAAGCAAAGACTTACAACTATTAAAGTTTTATCTGGATTTGGGGTCAAAGGGCCATTTTAATGGTCCTTGAAATCTCATCCCCATAAGCATGACACTATGGGATGGTCCGTACATATATATAGAAGACATGGTGGGAGAAAGATCCAAATTCAATTGTTCAGAAGAAGGAGAGAGAGAGTATATCACAGGAATGAGCAAAGTCCATAACAAGAAGCAGCATGCCCCAACTTTTCCACTGCTCCAACTTTAAAATGAACTTAGTCATCCTAACTTGCAGTCCCAAACGTATATGGCAAGAGAAGCAATTTCAAACTGTGTGAAAAGAATCCTTTTTTTTTTTGATTTTTTTTTTTTTTATTCATGAGAGACAGAGCGAGAGAGAAAGGCAGAGGGAGAAGCAGGCTCCCAAGGAGCAGGGAGCCCGATGCGGGACTCGATCCCAGGACCCTGAGATCATGACCTGAGCCGAAGGCAGACGCTCAACCATCTGAGCCACCCAGGCGCCCGAAAAGAATCCTTTTATAATAATGTAAACAAGTAGTAGTATGCAAAAGCAATCTGTTTGTCATAGTTTTGATGCATGTGTTGTTTTTTTACAATTAAAGGTGACCAGCTAGGTAACAATCTAACCTGTAAGAAAAATGATTTGTAATTCAGATAGGACAATAATGTAAATTATGCTTTTATATATGTTAAAATGCAAAACACAAAGATGACCACTGAACCAAATTTGTCGAGCAATTAGCATATAGTGGGGGATACACAGACACACAACCCCTAATGTTTGCACACTGGTCGTAGAGATAACTTGCACAGCATAACTGCACCAACAGGCAAATAATCAATGATAATAGATCTACCATTCTTGGTTATTGTTGTTGTTGTTTTTAGCTTTTTGTGTTTGTCAATGAAAGGAAAATTTTAGAGAATGAAATCCAGGCATCTGTCTGACCTGACTAGGAAAGCAAACTTTTCTTTCTCAGTTGCCAGGTCAGGGGAAGACCTGCTAAATTATGTATCTTCCCTAAAGAAGTGAAAAGGTTCTGGTACTAATAGTTTTGCACTTCTGGTAAACTTCATTCGGTTGGTTTTTAAAACCATAATAATTATTTATTTATGGCAGATTTCAACTTGGAGGCTCTTAATTTTTTCACACATCCCTTCATCCAATGAACATTTCCAGAGACCCTAGTATCCTCGGGCCGCTTGGAGGGCTCTGGTTCCAGAAATCATTCCTGAGCATGGACTCCTAAGGGAAAGAGTGTGAAAAGTCATTTGGCCCAATATCCATTTACGCCATCGCGGTGGCGAAGTAGGACACCCCCATACTCAAAGGTTACCGTGGGAACGCGAGTCACGCGCTCTTTTGTCAGGATCAACACGTACACTGATGGCACCCTGGACCTCATGATAACGATCGCGCTGGCTGCGTTCAAACCCTCCGCGGAAAAAGAGGAGGATCTTGCCTTAGCCGTGAAGAGACCGAAAACTCGTTACTTCCCCGCCTTTGAAAACATAGGCGGCGGGAATCCAGTTTGCCTCCCGGCGGCAAGATTTCACCCCGCCCCGGGCAGGGGCTTCTGGGTGCTCTCGCGAGAGCCTGGGTCTGGGTCGGCGACCGCTGCGCGCGCAGATCCCGCGAGGGGGCGCGGGGAGCAGGGGGCGGGGCTGTGACGTCCTCGAGCGGCCCCCAGTTCCCCCTCCCATTCCAGAGAGGGGCGAGAACTGAGAGGCGGGTTTCGGGCGCAGCAAGTTCCCACTGACGCTTGCCGGGATGCGGGGATCCAGGACTGATTTCCTGTTGCTGAGAAGAATAGTTCCCGAGTGAATATCTGAAAAGACCAGCTATGGTAGTGCTTTCTTGCCCTCGGACCAAAACTTTAATAAGGGTTCCAAAACAAATGACATGACGGAATTATGTGGAACCTCTAACAAAACAGAATGGCAATAAACCAAATGCAACGAAAGGATACAGCCTTTCTGTTCTGATTTTTAAAATAAGCCATCAGCAGCCCAGGGCATCGGCACCTTAAATTCACCGTGTCAGATGTTTCTTTAATACTGGAGGCTAATCATGCCTCAATCAAAAGAACAAGGTCTTTTAAATTTACAACTTTCCCGAAGTCATTTTGGAGTGAATACTAATTACGAATGTCCTTGAAGTACATCTGGTAAGTTTCCAAACATAGAGGACAGTATGGGACATGGTAAGAAAGACTTGTTAGCAGAGGGCTCCATAAATAAAGGCTTGCCAGACAGAAGAATTCTGTGGGATTTCTCCTCAGTCTTAGCCTCGGGAAAGAATGATTTACTACTGATTAAGCTATAACGAAGAGTCTTGCCAGTACCTCAGAGTCCTAGACGATCCAGTTCCTCTTTGTTCAGGAGCAATGTACAGTGTTGTTGAAATGCCTTCCATTTAAAAAAAACTTGTATGATTATTTGAGTTGTAATGTTAAATGGGCTTTCTGATACTATTTTCTACTTGTGGTATAGTAGCCTGATTCTAACTAATCATGACCTTCGTGTCTCCCTATACTGGTGGGTATAGTTTTACTTAACCAGCTGTAGGCTTATAAGAGAGAGCTCCGTTCCAGCCCTTCACTACCCAAAATGTCTTGATAATCACTGACAAACTTCCAACAAGACTGTGCCAATTTACAGAAATGTTTAAGAGTGCGTAAGAGTTGGTTTCATCTGATCCTTTCCAGCAGTCTTGGAGATAATCAAGAAAAAGATTCTTTAGTAAATTTGATCTGGACAGAAGACTCCCTGCTTTTATAAGTGTTTAGCCAGGCAAAATAGTCTTTACTTTTATTTGATATTCTTTGTCATTTCTCTTTCTGTAGATTTTGAAAGACCATGGAGAGGATTTTCTCGTTGGCAACAAATTCAGTTGGGCAGACATACAACTGTTAGAAGCGATTTTAATGGTGGAAGAACTCGATGCTTCTGTTCTTTCTGACTTCCCTTTGCTAAAGGTAGAGTATTCACATCCACACAAAGTGAATAGAAACGAAGACTAAAATGAAATGTATCTCCAGGTCAATCTTAAAAGAAGACTTGTTAAAAAATCATTATTTCATGCATCTTGGCAATTTTCTCCTGCTCCATACTACAGGATCATTAGGAAATAAACCCTTATGATGGGAGAGAGATAGGTTATTTTGGTTTCTAACATAAATATTTAGTGCTTTCCTTTTTTTTTTTTTAGTGCTTTAAGCGTTTTTTTCCTGATGAAGCAACGCTGACAAGTCTGTCTTTGTCGTTTCCCTCCCCAGTGCCTACTGGACAACTCTGCCCCCCTTTAGTGACCCTGATGCCGAGGACACCCCACCATTTCCCTCCATTGCTCAGAGATTCTGCCTGGGTGTCCCTGCCTGTCTCCTGCTGTTGCTGGTCCTTAGACCTCCCTCTCTCAATCCTGCCACTGCCAGACCAGAGCTGGCCTCTCTTCCAATTCCTTAGAAACATTTTATCTAAGAGGTGACCATAGGTTTTGTGGTTTAAGAATAGTATTTTTTTCTTACTACCAAAGAAATGAAAGTTCAGGTCTTTACGTTAGGCATTTGTATGAAACAAAAGAAGAAAAGACCTAACTAGCCAAATGCTACTACTGGATTAGACTCTGATCTATTATTTTACATTTTTCCTCAAAATAAGATCATACTAAATATTGTTTTGTGGCCCCCTTTTAACATTTAAAAAAATTATCATGAATGTTTTGACAGGTCAGCAAATATTCTTCTACAATGTCATTTTATTTTCATTAGGCAATAGAGTCACATCTTTTTGAATAATCAGAACTATATAAAAAGGGCATAAACTGAGAAAGCTTATTCCCACCACTGCCCTCCCACCTTTCTGCTCCTATAATCACTTTTATTGGTTTCCTGTGTAACTTCCCAGTGTTCCTATTTATGCAGATACAAGCAAATATGAATATCTATTTCTCTCTCATCCCCATCCCTGGCTTTCTTACACAAAACAGCAAATATATTCTGTTCTGCCCTGGACTTTTTTTTTTTTTCTTTTCCCTTTCTTTAAACTAAACCGTGCATTCTAGAGCTCTTTCCCTGTCAATACAGGAACCTTCCTCTTTCTTTTTATATATAAGTCATTTTAAATTACTGGCTTATATACCTTGTAAGGACATACCATAGTTTATATGACCGGTTTTCTTTTCTTGGAAACATAGGTTATTTCCACATTTTCACCCTACTAACATTCTTTTTTTTTTTAAGATTTTATTTATTTATTTGACAGACAGAGAGAGAGCGAGCCCACAAGTAGGAGGATCAGCAGAGGGAGAGGGAGAAGCAGGGTTCCGCTGAGCAGGGAGCCCGACGTGGGGCTCGATTCCAGGACCCTGGGATCATAACGTGAGCCGAAGGCAGACACTTACCTGACTGAGCCACCCAGGCACCCCCACCCTGCTAACATTCTTAACATGATTTCTTTGCTCGCGCCTTATGCGATTTCTTTGCTCACCCTTATAATAAATTCCTAGAACAGGAATCAATAGGTCAAAGAATATGAATTTTTTATTTTTTAT